CAATGAAAGAAATATCAATGTAAAAAATTCAAGTAAAGAGTCAATACATATCATATAACAATGCACAATTAAAAAATTTTAGCCAATTAGACAATGATGTATATATTAACTTTTACAAAAATATCTGTTATTTTCTTTTTAATGACTTTAGAATATTATTTATGCATTTTTAAATTGTTTTCGTGAGTACCAATGATTATCTCAAGGACCTACTAAACAATATTATACTGCTGATTCTATTCTAAAAGATTCTCTAACTTTTCCAAACTGGTATTTTGTCTTCTGTTTCCATATTCATTTAATATTTGATTTTTCTATCACCTGTTCATTTAATTTAAATATATTTTTTACAATGTCCTTTAATAATGTTTAATATGATTTAATGATTTATAGATTCCACTGATTTACAAAGCATTAAAACTCAGAAACAACAAGCTAGACTTGTTTGCTTCAGCTTGGATAGCACCCAACTGGATGAAAACTATACCTGGATATTCTGCTAGAGGTTCTTACATTAAAGACGATATGTACCAACCATGGGCAGATTATTTTGTAAAATTTTTGGATGCTTACAAACAAAACAATATTTCATTTTGGGGAATAACCACCGGTAATGAACCAAAAACAGCTTTTCTTGATGCTAAGATACCATCTGTAGCTTGGAGTAGTGATGGAATGGTAATATTCCATTGAACTTAACTTTAATATATATTTTATAAAATCTAGAAATATTATCTACAGAGGGGATAAGCAAGTATTAAAATTTATTAAATTTTCAGATTAAATGGATAAAAGAAAATTTGGGTCCCACATTGGGAAACTCTGCTTACTCTGATATTAATCTTTTAATTCTTGATGATCAGACTGACAATCTACTTACCATAGGTCATCAGGTAAATTGAAAATTAATTTTATTAATATTGCAAATAAAATAATGATTTTTGTTGAATGTTGAATGTACTTCACAACCTTAGAAAAGGGTATTTATCTCACACGGCATAATTTTCTCATTTTATTTTTATTTATTATAAGTAAAAACATGATAAATAGGAGAAAACCAATATAACTTAAAAATATAAACTTTCCTAAAGCTCTGATATTTTTTCTTTTAGATATTATCAGATGAGACAGCCAACAAATTTGTTAGTGGTATTGCTATTCACTGGTATGGAGATACTGAAGCAACACCGGCAAATTTAAATACTACACATGAACTGCATCCAGACAAATTCGTTTTAGCAACAGAAGCCTCTAATGGTAATATCTTTTCTAATTTAAAAATGTATTAAGTTACCTACATGTGAAAATAATTTAAAAACATGGTTTAAAAGTTTTGAAGACTTCAGTTTCACTTCCAACTGTATTTTCTATTGATGTTTCCCTCTATTTGCTAGTATTCTCCTACATAATTTAAGAAAAATATTAATTTAATAATGAAATTTAGCATTTCTGTCAACATATAATCGGAGAGTGTATTTATGTACACGTTTTAAGGTTATATACTTACTGCAATAAGTCGGAGATCGTTACATTTTTATCTGTTGCGTAACATTAATAATAAGATTAGTTTGTTTTTTAGTCTTCTCAAAGCTTGTTGCCATTGCTGTCAACATTGTGAAATGTGACATTTGTGACAGATGATTGACCGTTGCTGTTGTTGAGACTATCTTTGTTGAGTTATCAACTATTGTATTTAATTGTATTGTATTATTCAGCTGATTTGGTAGACGCGATAATGATAAAAAAGCACTGGTACCAATTATACATTCTCTTGTTTTAGAATCATTGATTTGTTTAAAATTTAGGTATTTTTCATAAACATTCTTTAAAAATAACCAACTTTGCTTGCAATTGATCTTGAAAACTGGAAATATGCAACAAAAATGCGCAGTTTTATCGAAAAAAGACAAGCAACAAGCTGTAATGTACGAAACCTTTTCGAAAAATGGACCTTTAAATTTTATATTAAAACTTATGTGATTATTGATCTTGTTAATATTTTAATTATTTTTAGGTTATCAACTCAATGATCAATTGTTAGGAAACTGGACAAGAGGAGAACTATACGCTGACAGTATATTGAAAGTAAGTTCCTATAGAATTCTAACTTGTTTCAATTAGGTTATAAATCATGAGCAAGTGGTAATATCACAACAAATACAAATCTTTAATTTTTCCCCAGATCTGGAGAAATTTGTAAAGTATCTCACGTAATCAGCTCAAAAATGGTCTGGAGATGCCTAGAACAATTGAATGAGCTAGGCGAGAGTTATTCTCACTTAGGTCCTGAGACATAATAGAGTATAGGGTAACGAGATTGCAGATAGTCTTGCAAGGAAAGGGGCTCAAACACTCTATGTAGGACCTGAGCCGTTCTGCGGTATCAGCAGTAATTTAATATTAGAAGAGATTAAAAAAGAATTGGGCAGTAGAAGAACCAATAATTGGAACAGTCTCTTGGGGCTGAGACAGGCCAAGATACTTTTAGGTGAATATAACCAGAAAAGATCGGAAGCCTGCATCTGCCTGAGCAAGAATAGGCTACGTATTGTAACAGGGATACTTACCGGGCATTCTCGACTAAAAGGACACCTACGTAAACTGAGAGTAGTAGAGGATAGTTAGTGCAGATTCTGTGAGGAGGAGGACGAAACCTCCATTCACATCCTGACTGAATGTGTAGCACTCCAGAATCCAAGGGCACTATATCTAGGAAGATATCAAATATAAGAGGGAGATTTACCTAACTTGAAGCCACTTCAAATCCTACTCTTTCTTGATAAAATAGGATTGAAAGGGTCATTATAGGCATTAAGACATTTCCTTAGTGCCTTGGCGACAGAAGGGGGCATAATAGATCTTTTAGGTCGCAGTATATTAACACTCCATTCTCAACATAACATAACATAACATAACATAACATAACATAACATAACATAACATAACATAACATAACATAACATAACATAACATAACATAACATAACATAACATAACATAACATAACATAACATAACATAACATAACATAACATAACATAACATAACATAACATAACATAACATAACATAACATAACATAACATAACATAACATAACATAACATAACATAACATAACATAACATAACATAACATAACATAACATAACATAACATAACATAACATAACATAACATAACATAACATAACATAACATAACATAACATAACATAACATAACATAACATAACATAACATAACATAACATAACATAACATAACATAACATAACATAACATAACATAACATAACATAACATAACATAACATAACATAACATAACATAACATAACATAACATAACATAACATAACATAACATAACATAACATAACATAACATAACATAACATAACATAACATAACATAACATAACATAACATAACATAACATAACATAACATAACATAACATAACATAACATAACATAACATAACATAACATAACATAACATAACATAACATAACATAACATAACATAACATAACATAACATAACATAACATAACATAACATAACATAACATAACATAACATAACATAACATAACATAACATAACATAACATAACATAACATAACATAACATAATTTGTAGGGTAGATCTAGCAACACCGCACCGCTTGAATCGATGCTATCTATTTTTATGCATTCAATTTGATGCCACGTTAACCATTGTACCCCTTATATTTATTACGAACGTGCAGCGTTGCCATTAAAACCTACCTATGAAGTTCCTTATATCTATTTTCGAACATGCAGCGTTGCCATCGAACGACATCGTTTACGTTGGTCGAGCTGCGTCGTGATATAATGTGCATTTCTTTCCATTCAATTTCCTGTTCAACTTTGAATACGGTGATAACGTTGTACCTGTCCCTCTTTTACTAGCATAACAGGAAATAATTTCACTGTCTAAGGGGTTTGTCGATCTAGACGGTGTACATTTATTTATGTGGTTGCGGTTTTGCCAGATCTACTCCATAAATTTCCCTAGATCTGCGGAAAACTCAATGAAAGTGCCACTCTACATACTTCGTGATATAAAACTTTTGTGTTACAAAATGCATCAACAGCCCTTTTTAAACTGTTTCATGTACACTTGAAAATAATTAATAATTGTATATGCTTTATAGGATCTCAATCATTGGGTGGTTGGATGGGTGGACTGGAATATGGCTCTAAATCTACAAGGAGGGCCAACATTTATTGATAATAACTTGGATTCTCCCATTCTAGTTAACTCTAAAGAAAACGAATTTTACAAACAGCCAATGTACTATGCTCTTGGTCATTTTTCCAAATTTATTCCTAAAGGATCTTTTAGAGTTAAATCTTCTATTATCGATGAAGTAGTATCTACTGCAGTAACAAGACCAGATGGTGCTACTGCTATAGTGATTTTAAACAAGTAAGTTTAACAGTATTTTTATATATTTGTTTCTTTCTTTAATTATTTAGTTAGAAAGTTTATCAAAATTTGGATCCATATTTTTGTAGATTTTTTTTATCTTATCTGGAGCAAATAGACAATTGATTTTTTTATTTTTGTTGTAGGAACAGCAAGGATATATCAGTAACAATAAGAGATGCAAGAAGAGGTAATATCAATGTTGATTTGACAGCAAATTCGATTACATCTATTGTATATTGGTAGTAAATTATGTTTAATATAAATAAATTATTTTAAATCTTTAGAAAATTTGTTTAATTCAAAGTTTGTGGATTAAGGCTGCTATAGTTTCAACACTTGTTTTTTTTTAACAATATTACTCATTACTAATTTATGAATATAAATAATATCCTTAAATACTACATAATTAAAGAAATTTAACTTTCATAAGAGTGATATAGCAGTGATCATTAACAAATTGAAGATATCCAGTGAAAACTGAAGCAAATTGGTATTAAAATTGATTCATATATATTTGTTCATTGAATTAAACTTTGTCCTACTGTTGACTTTTAATCAAATAAATTGGTAATCTAATCTAATTGTTATTGCTATATTAAATCATTTTTATTATCTTATTTCTAAAATGAAGTTGGTGGCGACAATTGGCATAATTTTGCAAGGTAATATTTTTTTAAATTTTTGATGTTTCTTATAATAATTATAAACACAAGCAATTCAAAATTTAGTAAGTTAGGTTTTTTTATATGGAAAATGATATAACATTAAAATATGCAAATACATATGTTTTTATTTAAAATGATGCATTCTTTATCAAAAATAAAAATGTTTTATATATTGTTATTGGTGATGAAATAACAACGATGTAGTAGTCTACTATATTATTATTTCATTATTAATATTTCATTGCGATGTATTTTAAATTTAATTTCTTTCATTGGAAGAAAAGAAGAAGAAAAATAACACTAAAACGATTGAATGAATTGAATGATAAATATCGAATCAACTATACCGCTGATTTATATTAAATGCTCAACTTCATATAATAATATTATTAATTTATTTCAATTAAATTGCCTGAAACAAATTTAATTATTTTTATCATATTAAATTGAACAAACAAATATTAATATTATAATTTTGACGAAGCAATTGAGATGTCAACAAAATTGTCGATTTCGCTTCATTTATATATTATTACTTTGTATATTTATAATCTCAACTAATAATAGAATTTTATTTTCAATTGTAAATTATAAATTTTCATTTATGCAGTGTTTGTGAAATATTTTATGTGTAATGTGGATTTTAAATAAATATTTTCATTAATTTATGATAGTACCGTTTAATTTTATTCTATACAGAATGTCTGTCCCACAGGTTTAATTTTAATTATTTGAGGAAATACCATTTTTTTTTAAATTATGGTCCGAATAAATTTAATCAAATGAACTCCCTATAATTTTAATTTTATAATATAAATATATTATCCTTATATATTGTATCAACATTCTATAATTTATGTATAGTTGATTTTTAATTACATTTGCTGAAATTCCTTTAGATTTCTTCACTTCAGTCGTTTTCCTAAATTACATAACTTAATATTTTTGACTTAAAAACAAAATCTTTTTTAATTTTTATTTATAGTTGTGCAGCACCTCTCAGCACAAGACTGTCTCAGCAGAAATTACGGTAATGGCGGAACAGTCTGTGTATGCAATTCCGATCATTGCGACACCATCGCTCCTATCAAAAAGCTTGAAGGAACTAAATATGTCAAGTTTACGTCTAATAAAGCAGGTTTAAGGTTCCACAAGGAAGAAGGCAGTTTTACAAAAGAGGGTTCAGATGTTAAAAATGTTATTACTGTTGGAACTAAAATGTTTCAAGAAATAATTGGTTTTGGAGGAGCCTTTAGTGATTCTACCGGTATAAATATTAAATCGTTAAATGCAGACCTACAAGATAAATTGATTAGGTAAAGCGTTGACTTTTATCATTGTTATGCTTGCTATGACAAAAAATTCCTGTAATATCAGCTTAGATTTCACAGGCTTCATGATTGCGCTCACCTCCAGGACATAGTACAATTTGTTTAGACTCCCTCCGCTGCACCGAATTATAAAGAATATGTAAAAAAACGATATGTAGTCAGTTTTGAGAGCATACTTATTTTTATGAAATTATAACCATTAAATTATTTTGGTACGCTTTATTTATAAAGAACAACAAAACTATTCTACCTTAGTCTTATAGCAACTAAAAATAGTCAGCTGAGTTCCTACTAAAGTGGAAAGATAATTTGTTTTTTTTTATTTAGATCATATTTTTCGGATGAAGGTATTGAATACAGTGTTGGAAGAGTACCTATTGGAGGTACAGACTTTTCTATTAAAGGTTACTCATACTGTGATACTGAAAATGATACTGTTGATCTAGAATTGAATAACTGGAAATTAGCATCAGCAGATACTGATTATAAGGTATGTGTAGGTGAGTTAAGTAAGAAATTAGAAACTACCCAGACAGCACACGTCCATTTTATAATAATTTGAGGGTTAATACAAAAATTAATTTGACAGCTGAATATAGATGCCCAGAATCATTTAGAATAGTTCAGAATCGTTTAGAATCGTTTGGAATTGTTTAGAATCATTTATAATCGTTTAGAATCGTTTAGAATCGTTTAGAATCGTTTAGAATCGTTTAGAATCGTTTAGAATCGTTAGAATCGTTAGACTCGTTTAGAATCGCATGGAATCGTATAGAATCGTATAGAATCGTATACATTTTTTAGAATTTTTAGATGTTTTAGAATCTTTAGATACTTTCTTTAGAATCTTTAGAATCATGTATAATCATCTATAATCATCTATAATCATCTATAATCATCTTTAATCATCTATAATCATCTATAATAATCTATAATAATCTATAATCATCTATAATCATCTATAATCATCTATAACCATCTATAATCATCTATAATCATCTATAATCATCTATAATCATCTATAATCATCTATAATCATCTATAATCATCTATAATCATCTATAATCATCTATAATCATCTATAATCATCTATAATCATCTATAATCATCTATAATCATCTATAATCATCTATAATCATCTATAATCATCTATAATCATCTATAATCATCTATAATCATCTATAATCATCTATAATCATCTATAATCATCTATAATCATCTATAATCATCTATAATCATCTATAATCATCTATAATCATCTATAATAATCTATAATAATCTATAATCATCTATAATCATCTATAATCATCTATAATCATCTATAATCATCTATAATCATCTATAATCATCTATAATCATCTATAATCATCTATAATCATCTATAATCATCTATAATCATCTATAATCATCTATAATCATCTATAATCATCTATAATCATCTATATTCATCTATAATCATCTATAATCATCTATAATCATCTATAATCATCTATAATCATCTATAATCATCTATAATCATCTATAATCATCTATAATCATCTATAATCATCTATAATCATCTATAATCATCTATAATCATCTATAATCATCTATAATCATCTATAATCATCTATAATCATCTATAATCATCTAATCATCAATAATCATATGTAATCATCTGCAATCATCTGTAATCACTTATAATCATCTATAATCACCTATTTTCATTTATAATTAATCATCTATAACCAATCATCTATAATCAATCACCTATATTCAATCATCTATAATCAATTATCTATAATCAATCATATATAATCAATCAATCATCTATATTTAATAATTTATAATCATCCATAATCATCTATAATCATCTATAATTATTCACAATCATATATAATTATCTTTAATCATCTAGAAAAGATAAAATCATCAAAAATTATCTAGAATGATCTAGAATCGTTTAGAATTAACTAAAAAGGTCTATAATCATCTAAGAAACATCTAGAATCATCTAGAGTCATCTAGAGTCATTTAGAGTCATCTAGAGTCTTCTAGAGTAATAGAGTCTTCTAGAGTCATCTAGAGCCATCTCGAAGTATTTATAATTATCTAAGTTCGTTCAATACAGATATTTGTGCTGCATGGGTAAATCATTATAAAATGTAAAGATGATTTGAATATTTCACGTTACAACTACAGCTAAAATGTTCCTAGATGGTAAAACTCTTATATTTTATTACTGGTAGATTTTTAATAACTGGTTTTTAAGTTCTGGTTTTGATATAAACAAATATTTATAGATTCCATTAATTAAAGAAGCTTTGAAATTGAGAAACAACGAATTTGATTTACTTGCATCTGCCTGGATTGCTCCCAACTGGATGAAAACGAAACCTGGTTTCCTGGAAAGGCAATCTTTCATTAAGGATGAAATGTACCAAGTATGGGCCAATTATTTGGTAAAATTTTTAATGGAGTACAACAAACAGGACATTTCGTTTTGGGGAATCACTACTGGCAATGAACCACTGACGGCTTACTTACCAAATAAAATACCTTCTGTAGCATGGACAGTAGACGGACAGGTAATTTTGTCTAATAAAAAAGTGTGACATGGATATAAATAACTTATTTATTTTGTAGAAAAAATGGATTAGAGAAAACTTTGGTCCTACTTTGAAAAATTCCAACTTTAATAATACTAAAATTATAATTGTTGATGATCAAATACTACTTTTACCTATAGTTCCTGATCAGGTATTCTAATTTTAAATATTTTATAATAGTTATTCTTATAACACATATCTACAATCTTTTAGCTACTTGCCGATAAGGAAGTAGAGATGTATGTAGATGGTATTGGTATACATTGGTATCTAGAAATTGGTGACTTCCCAGAACTTTTAGATATCACCCATAAAAATCATCCTAATGTATTTATGTTGGCCACAGAAGCGTGCAACGGTAAGACACAAATTGTAGGTAAAGAATAGGCATTTTTAAGTGTATAAGTGAAGAAAACTTACTTATTAGAAGAATCTGGGTGTTGACACAATGAAATTTTGTTAGACAAACATATTTTAAATCTCTAAGTCATCTAGAAGATTTAATTTAAAATTTCAATTGAAGATATTGTGTATATAAGAAGTGTGCAAGTGAATAAGGTGTTGACGAAAGTAAATTTTTATCAAATTCCTTCTGAATCTCTAAATCTTCTAGCAGATATAATTTATTATTTTAATAAAAGATATAAAGGATTCGTAGAATATTTTAAGAAGTGCAATAGTGACTACTGATATTAATATTATGTACAATTTTCATCCAGCGATTTAATATCATTTGTATAGGAAAAAATTTACATTTATCTCTAAAAATAACTGCAATATTATTGGAAATTTTACCAAGCCAATATTATAAAAATATCAGATTTTTTGAAGATATACATTTTACTTTTTTAATCACAAAATTCTTTGATATCATAATATTTTTGATAATGTTCTCTTTAAGGCTATGTTCTAAATGATGTTGAATTAGGAAATTGGTATGGAGGAGAAAGCTATGCTGACAATATAATCAAGGTGAGAATAAATAACAACAACGAAAGTACTTAACAATTTTTTTTTTTCAGAATTTAAATCATTGGGTAATAGGTTGGATAGACTGGAATATGGCTCTAGATGTAGAAGGCGGACCAACATTTATTGGCAACAACGTTGATTCTCCCATCATAGTTAATGCAACAGCTCAAGAGTTTTATAAACAACCAATGTATTACGCTATGGGACATTTCTCAAAGTTTATTCCTAAAGGATCTGTTAGAATAGAGTCTTCACAATTTAGTAAAAATTCGGATGTTCTAGACATTGCTTTTCGACGACCAGATGGCGGTACCACTGTTATAGTATTAAATAAGTAAGTAAAGAATATTGCTTAGATAATTTTTTTGATGAAAGGTCAATATCTAATAAAATGTTTTCATCTGTTATATAACAAAATTTGTTCATGTTTGTAACTGAATGTCCTAAAGTAATCTATGATGTTCTCTTGTATTTAAAGTGAACATAATGTTTTGCTTATTTCATTCAGATGTACTGAATTTTTTATGGTATTCTATATCTAAAATCATCTAACATCATTTAAAATCAATCATAATCATAAAATCATATAAAATCAATCATCTAATATTTAAAATTCTCGTGTCACAATGTTCGTTCCCATACTCTTCCGAAACGGCTTGACCGATTCTTATGAAATTTTTTATGCCTATTCAGTAGGTCTGAGAATTGGCTACTATCTATCTTTTAAACCCTTAAGTGATAAGGGGTCTCCTAGAATCATATAGTCGCGTCTAGAATAATTTATAGAACATAAGTTATTATAAATGTTATCATCCTTATGTTTAACAATATGGTAATGTTTGGGATTTAGATCTCAGTCTTTTCTTCTATGACCTACGGAAACCAGTGTATGCTATTACACCAAGATATTTACTTTCTGTGACAAATCGAATGAATGAATAACCACGTTGATTAGTACCAGTGGCCTTAGACCTGTAAGTACCATCAGCATTTCCTAGATATATCGGTAACCTTTTTTGAAAAGTCTTTCAAAAGTATGTCCACTAAAATTAGAGTAGCTTTTGCCTATATGGTTACATTTTCTAGGGTAAATATGATGATCTTTTCGTTTTGACTGACATTTTTAGTTCTGACGTAGTTAAAGACTTATTAATATTTAAGGGAATGTCAATCGTGACTTCTTTGTCATCTATTGACTTGACAGCAACATGTTTAGCTCACTCAGCTCTGAGTTTGTTGATTTTCATAATTGGTATGTATATTGGTTAGGATGAAAAGTATTTGCTTTCAATTTTTTATCCCTGATCTAGCTATCAGTCTTTCTCACTTTTTTAACAAGGAAGACATAGTTTTGCAGAGGCAGACTACTTTTGTCATATTGCTGAAATATATTTCCAGATTAAATATATGCTATAAATATTTCGCGTAGAACTTTAATAAGTTGTTGCTTCTATTTCTCTTTCTGAGTTTTAAATTTCTGTTGTTGAAACGAAATATTCTATTATTTCGCATTTGTGCAGCCACTTTTATTCTGCATATTTAAAAACACATTAAAAAATATTGTTTTTTATAATTTTTTGGTTTTATGTTACAGAGCCGAAAACGATATTTCCTCAACAGTACGAGATCCAAGAAAAGGTGATATCACTATGACTTTGACAGCTAACTCGATAACGTCTATCGTATACTGGTAAAAGATTTAGAAGATACTTGTCATTGAAATATTAGTACTTACCTATTTTTTACAAATAATACTCTATTTTGTTAATTATAATTTAATAAAACATTGAATTTGAATAATAACTTTTTAATTTTGCATGAAAATTACATGAACGTGTGCTTAGTCTAACTTAACCTAATTTCCTCTTTTATTATTCAAATGGCCTTAACCTGAGTAGCAACAATATTAATCAAATTAATAGGCGTTTTCTTTTTAATTAAATTTAATTTATTTAAAGCAAATAATTTATATTTATACACTTTTATTCCTGATAACTGATTATTTCAATCTATTTTCCTCTTTCTCAAATAAACCAATTTTTCTTTTCATCTCAATCACTTCCTAAAGATTTTCATTATCTCCCATTCCTTTATGGAATTTCCAATTCCTGGTAATTTGTTCGCTGTTTCCGATAAAAAAAACAAGAGCAAATTATTTATTTCTTCACAATGGACCGCTGACCTGTATCTTTCGTAATTGTTTTCTAAGGGTGGAACAATCTTGGTTTGGTAGAAAATCGTTTGAGGCAACAAAATTTATTTGCTTTCTTGTTAAATTCGTTAGGGAATCGAAACACACGTTAGTATTTTGTATTTGAACATTTTAGAATATATAAGGTAAGTCATGAGAGATCGGAAATTCTAGTCGCAAAATGGTGCTTCTCTAAAATTTTCCGTATTTTTAAAGAGCCTAATAAAATATTAAAAAAAATTGAAAAAAAAAACATATTTTGACTAGTTGCAACCTATTAAAAATTTTTTCATCTAATTTTTTATCATCCTACTTTTTCTCACTCGACATTTTACATCAAAATTTTTTCATACAAAATTATTTCGCTAAATTTTTTTTAAATTTATTATTGTTTCATCCCAAACTTTTTCCACCCAACATTTTTTTCATGCAACATTTTTTCACCAGATATTTTTTCATGCAACATATTTTTTATGCAACAATTTTTCATCCAAAGTTTTTTCATAAAAATTTTTTCATCCAAATTTTTTCATGTAAAATTATTTGGTCAAAATTTTCACTAATTTAAAATTATTTTATCCAAACTTTTTTCTACCCAATATATTTTATACAACATTTTTCATTATTTGTTTTTTATCCAAATTTTTTATCACATTCCTTCTTCCAACATTTTTTCATTCATTTAAATATTCTTTAAACTTAAAATATTTCTTGATCTTTGCTTCTATTTTTAAAACTTCTTTAATTATTAATAAATACCAACTTACTGCTAAAATACAAATTATGTAGCCTATTAATTATTAAGTTAACTACGAAGTTAAATAAGCAAAGTTTCAGAGCTCAGGTGTTTGGGAGAGAGAGTCGGCAAATTAAAAATTAAAATCAAAGCACTTACTGTAATCTCAAAATGTCTTATCTCTTATTATATAAAATCGTACCTGATTCTATTAAATATTTATTCAAGATTTTAAGTGTATAAAAAATGAAGTAAATAATAATTATATTATTTTTATTTTCGTTATGTAAATGCACTTTGATTTTTATATCTTTTCGTTTGCATCATATAAATAAATTAAATTTTCTTCTTTGGGAACAGCACACAAAACAATTTATTAGAGACAAATCGAACAGGTGAAAAAAAAAAAATTATTAGTAATGTAGATTTTTATATTAAAAAAACCATTTTACTTTTTGTGAACACTTTATTGTTATTAGAGATGAACTTAACACTTCAAGTTTTTTATACAGAATGAATAATGTAATAGACAATGAGTGTCGTATCATATATTGTTACCATTGTATTTATTACGTATATGACTTACATTATGCAGTACGTCTCTATATTATTATAAATCATCATAATTTAAATGAAATATACTGCATAGAATGACAAAAATGGTCTGCTAACAACTAACAAAATCTAAGAACAAAACATTATTTGTAGGTATAGCGATTTTCACAATATAATCCTCATTTTGTAGAGTTATTGTTTTTCTTGCATATAAAATATGTTAATAAGCTTTTCAGAAACAATGCTGAAAATATAATTCGTAAATAACATTCCGAGTATGTTTTTCTGGTTGAAGTTTATTAAATGAATGTTTCTGCTACGCAATACTTTTCAAAATTGGGCAAATATTTACCTTTGGTATTCGAGGAAAGAATGCCGAATTTAATTTAGAAATATTTGTTATTTAATTAACAAAACTTATGATTTAAAAAAATGCAGTGGAAGGAGATTTTTTATGCAGGGTTTCTTATCTATGCGTAATACGATATTGATAGTTTGTGATAATAATAAATCATTGAGCTACTTACATTGTTGTTTTTGATAAAATCTATATAGACCTTACCTGAAAAAAAAAATATATATATATATTTCAGTGAATATTTACAGTTAATTTTTTATTATTGGGTAAATAAAGGATATCACTCTTTTCAATATACAGTTAAATGTATAAATCAGTACTATCAACGTTAGTTTAGTTGTGATAACTGGGTAATAAATAAATGAACAAACATTATAAACCGTTTTTTAGACGGAACCACATCTGACATCATTCTTTCGTCATCAAAAAATAAAAAAAAACATTTTTTACCCATAAGTTGAAATTCTATCTTCTTATTAAATCTTACAAAAATTGACGAAAATGTAAATCAGGGAACGACAGAAGACTTTTCCACAGAATATTTCATGAAAATGTACAAAATAGTAGTTTACCTAACCAGTGCGGAAAAGTAATTTCCACGCGCTAATTCAATGTCATTTTTATTTACTATTTGAATGATTAATGCGATAAAAACCCATGAAAGTGATCATTTCTTTCTTTATGACATATTCATTAAACACTATATAAGGGATTTGTAAGTTTTCAAATTTAATTTTTTTTTAATTTCAACATTTCTTACATTAAAATAAAACGGGTGAAAATTGACTTCCACCATTTCCATTTTTATATTTACTTAAGCATTAAATTTAAAATGGTTACGGTACTGATTTGAAGTAAAACATCGCATACGACTGCAACTTCAGGTGGCTGCTGCTCTCTTGACACTGATTCTACCAGTTATTTTTAAGCTATAACCCCAGTTTAATAAAATTACTTGACGTGAAGAAATAAACCTATACAAAAAGCAAATAATATTAGATGAAATTAGATATTATATATTAATGCTGTTTATTGTTCACTTTAATGCTTATATCATTATATCAATACTGATAAAACATTAAAGCACAGATTTACAACAAATTTGAATATTTTAGTACAAAAAGACGAAATAAAACTTAAAATCCGCGAAATTTATTTAACGTCTAAAGAATAATTAATTTCTCAATTTGCATCTTTTAAAATTAACTTTACGCAAACTAGATTTCTATTAAAACAACCGAGCTTGAGACAGACACAATATAATTATGTCATTCAATTAAAATTCAAGACATTTAACTCTGGCTGTCTTCAGGGTATTAACCTAATAAGCGCCCCTATATTCCCTCCTTCAACATTAACATACATGTCTGACAATATTATTTCTATTACGCGATTTGTATGCAAGAGCACCTCATCCAACTAAACTATGACGGTTGAAATAAATGGAAAGGGAAAAATTATTTCTAGGACAAAATTGTTATAATACTAGGTTCAAGCATTTTACAGTCCTAATTTCATTTCATAGAGACATTTACCTTGTTAGTAATACTGCAAAATCATAAGTAGGTACTGAAAAATGTTATAATTTATCAATTGAAAAATCACTATATACTCTGATTTCCACCTAATTTTCATTAGTACCTACTAAAGTGTACTAAATTTTCAGCCATTTGTATTATCCACCATCAGTTCTAATTTGAATTTGAATTATAATTTTAATGAAGGCACTGTTTTTACAGATTGCGAAAAAGTGGAATTCAACGTTTGAACAGCCGGCTGTTTCCCACGACTCCTCATAATGTTTTTCGAAACCCTTTGAGCTACGTTGAAGCTTTTCTCGCCTAATTTCTAAAATTTTCAATTCACCTATAATATTTAAGCGCTGGGCTGGCATAATTTAACTTACGAGGGGGCCTGTCAGGATTTTTTCGACACACTATGGGTGTAAAGATTAAGAGATATACCAGCTGACCTTAATTATGTAATTAGAAACGTATTTAATACTATGAAAAATGTACTAAAAATCATTTAAAATACGCAATTGTGCCTAAGAAATGCTAGAAAATATGTTTTAAGTATTTTTTTTTTTTTATTTAACAATTAACGTGTCTCAACAACTATGGTTATTGACACGATACAATGAAATATAATAAACTATAATTTAGTAGATACATAATATCAACTTTCTAAAATTTAAATTAAATTATACAGGTTGGTATGCTGCAGAAAGTTAATCAGTTTTGGGTACTGTTCGGGGACTCCAAGGATATTTTTCAAAGAGTTTCCCAATCCATGGCTTTTGCGGGCTTCTGTATATTGTGGACAGTCTACCAGTATGTGACTCATAGTAAGATTGGTATTATCGCAATATTAGCAGAACGGTGGATTATCCGATGCCATTAAATAGCCATGGGTGAGTCTTGTATGACCTATCCGTAATCTTCGTATTAAAATTTTATTTTTTCTATTATTAGCTGGAAATTTAAAGGAAGTGACATCGGGTTTGATTGCATATAATTTGGTATTGGATCCTGTCCAGTATTCTGACCATTTATTCCAAATTGATTTTTTAAAAGAGCCTATTACATCTTTAAATAATTGAATGTTTTCTAAAAGTATGTTACTTGTAATAGCTTTTTTGGCGTAATGGTCGGCTATCTCATTGCCTTCAATACCCTCGTATGAAGGGACCCAAATAATTGAAACACAAATTTCATTTTTAAATAATGTTTGAAGAGATTCATGAATATCTTGAACTAGTGGATGTTGAAAAAAAAAATATCCTGGATAGATTGAATTGATGATAGTGAATCAGTGCAGATGGCCACCTTCTGACGTTCTTCAATTGACAACTTCA